ATTTGAGTATGAAAATACTATGAAATCTCAATTCCCTACCACATTTTGCATGCTGCTTGATGATGCCATCTCCTACTCCCCTTCAAGTTGAGTTCATGCTTGCACCTTCTGTTTCTATTTCAGGAGAGTTCTGTTTTCGGGTTTTTTTTTTTTTTTTTTTTTTTTTTTGGTCCAACCAGGAGGGAGTTGTCCGATGCAGTTATGCTAACACCCAGCGCACATTATTACATTTCTGTGAACATCTTATGAAGTCGTCTTACAAAGGCGAAGAAGAGCAAGGGGCAAAACTACTCGCTTTTCGACGAGTGCAAGATCCCTACAGATCTGCATGGTCGAGTGGGAAACGCCCACTTGCACATCCACAAACAGTGCATCTGACTACCACTGGAGTTTCCATCGCTTCCAGGAGTCGCTCCCTATGCTACCTAAAACAGGTACTACCATACCCACTGTCGGACAAACGGCATGAAGGGTATACGCTACTATACGGTATATTCCCACCTTTCCCCACTGCCCCCTCACCTTCTGGTACTACCATACCCACTGTCGGACAAACGGCATGAGGGTATACGCTACTATACGGTATATTCCCACCTTTCCCCACTGCCCCCTCACCTTCTGGTACTACCATACCCACTGTCGGACAAACGGCATGAAGGGTATACGCGACTATACGGTATATTCCCACCTTCCCTCACTGCCCCCTCACCTTCTGGCAACAACTGTTTCTTGTCAGCTTGCTGCCACAAAATGCCGCACGTCCGTTCTCTAGTCCTCCACAAATCAGGCACACAGAGAATCACACACCCAAACCCCAAGACTGCACTGACACACACTGACAACTCCAGCCGGAGCCAGCGGAGATGCCATGATCTATGATGAAGTAACTTGCTGACACAAAATGCCACACGTCCGTTCTCGCCCTCCACAAAGCAGGCATGGATATTCACACCCACACCCAAGACTGCACTGAACACCCTGAGAACTCCAGCTGGAGAAAACAGAGATGCCATGATCTGTTATCAAGTAGTTCGCAGTGCGATGCTCCTACCAAGCTACATTCAAATGCTTCGAATATAGACAATGAACGATTCAGAACAAACACATGCTGGGACCACCAACATACTTAAGCTTCTATGTCTCTTCCCGTTCAACAATCACGTCGTCCCGGAACGGCTCGTGTGACAGCTCTACAACAAAATGAACAGATAGAAAAGACAAAAGGACGGATCGTCCGGGTACATCAGACAGACGGACAGCCAGGTGCAGAGCTGGAGGAACACACAAACACAGTCAAAGTTAAAACGCACATACAAGCTCAACAGAGGCTGAAGAATGACAGCCACCTGGAAGTCCCACAGCGGGGCGGGATAATGGATCTGAAAAAATCTCAAAAGGGAGAAGAAGCCGAACTGAGAGTCTGCCAGATTTTTTTCCCTCCCTTTACGCAATAATAATTCACACAGGGGTCCTGTGACACAATCACCAATAACTGACCTCTGACTTCGTTCTTGGAACAACATCGTGTGAAAATGTGCAATCAGCCCCCTGCAAGAAAGGAAGAGATGGAAAAAAGTTAAAAAGACAACAACAACAAAAAAAAAAAAAAAAAAAAAAA